TTTACAGCGAATGTCTCATTTTGGAGACATTCCCAAAGGGTTTTACAGCGAATGTCTCAGTTTGGAGACATTCCCGTAGGGTTTTACAGCGAATGTCTCAGTTTGGAGACATTGTACATTTCCATAGGGTTTTACAGCGAATGTGTCGGTCCTGCGGGCATATCTTCAAACGAAGACATTCGCTGTAGAAAGCCCCAAGGGAATGTCCAATGTCTGCAAACCAAGACATTCGCTGTAGAAAGCCCCATGGGAATGTCTAATGTTTCCAAATGGACACATTTGCTGTACAAACCTATAGACATGCCTCTAAACCGAGATATTCAAGCAAACGATACGCCTGCGCAGTTCACGATAATGCACAGGCGCAGCTAGGCGCAGCTAGGCGCAGCTAGGCGCCTCAGGCGTACGTACTCAAATGGCGCCCATGCGATTACAATGTTTTATGTGTATTTATGGTGAAGTTCTCCATCTTGCGCCGCTACGCAGCGCTATACGATCTTTGGTAGAAACCTATGTCCAATATCCTACTAACTTTACTGTCATGGTTAAAGCACAGATTTGTGTGGTTATCTATCCTGCACGCATGGTAGGAAGTGTGTATTTCACATCAATATGTCCACTGTATACACACATACATGAGGGTTACTTTCTGAAATAACAGCACAATTTGTCGTATAACCACCCAGTTCTTCCGAGCAAAACGTGTATCCCGCATCCGCACCATTTTCAACAGCTTCTGTATACTGCTGGTTGTACATGGCAGGTTTATGCTACTTTGCATGGAAACATGCATCAGCTTTCAGTTGGCGTTTTCATGACGATGCCAAGGACACATCATTTTTCCTGATGAAACGTGGATCGAAGATTGGAGCTGGTTCGTTGCCGATTCAAAACGGCGGGAAGTAAACAGTCTTTCGTCACCGAAATCAAATAAGTGACAGTGGCGAAGCAAGGTCACTTTTATTAGGGAGTAGATGAGAAATGGGACCCTCCGTAGACAGGCCGTTTTCACAGATCACCCGACTTCCGTAGAATCAAGGAGGGTGCCATTGGCATCATCACGTAATGGTGGTGCTGATCGAAGCGGTCGATATCGGCATAATAATTGGCGGCGCTCTTCATAATGGCTGCCCAATTTTCTGACGTTTGGTGTGATACTAGTAGAAGGCACTGTGTACAAATATGGCAGTGAAAAGGGCACTTTGGGTAAGGCAACTTTTCATGAAAATGGTCCTATATCACAAAATGTTAGAGGTAAAATAGGGTACTTGCACGGCAAGAGTTTATACGGTATCTACTTTGAGCAGAAGCATCCCTTCATCGGTTTGTAAGAGCCGTGCTGCTTGGGAGTGTTCGTTTCGTCGAAAGTGACGCCCACACAATCACGCATGCATCGTTCGAGAACTAGCGAAGTGAAGTTCCCACCAAAGGAGCCTCTCAATTTGGAGGAAAATCGCGCCCCCTCTTTGTCCAGCTCAGGGCACATGCCGAAAAGCCTACGTTTACAGCTTCATTTCATTCCAATAATTTTTTGTTTAATCCAGCAGTAGGCCAATTCTGACACTGCGAAAGATCCCTATCGTGTTTTCTTGGGAATACTGCTAGCCACTCGGGAGACGAGGACAGAAAAAGGTTGACAGATCTAGAGATCTGTAACAAGGTTGTCACGGTCCTCTTCGAGGGCCATAACACCACATTCAACTACCTGACCTGAGCGCTGTATGTCATGGCAACGCATCCTGATCATAAAAGGAAAGTCCAGGAGGGAATTGATGAAGTGATGGAAGGTTGCAAATCAGAGGACGTTCAATGGTACGCCCACCGTGATCTACTTCCTGACGTTTTCTTTCATTAAAAAAAATCTTTACCTTCCTAAATTCCTCTAAGTGTGTTTGTTTATGGTGACTTTTACAACAGATTTGTTTGAGATTTACCCTTCACTCTCAGCATCTCGACTGTTTTCCTTCATATATCATCCAGGGAAGACCTTGGTATTTTAGTTTCATGACGCTGTGCCTCAAGGAAGCCATGAGACTCTACCCTCCAGTACTAACTGTCCAGCGGGTGGTTGCCCAGCAAGATACCACGGTTAACGACAGGTTGATTCCTAAAAGTGCAGTGGTGGATTTAAACATCTATTCTCTCCACCACAATCCAGAGATATGGCCTGATGCTTTGGTATGTATACCAATCTCTGCTATACTAGGAGCTGTTCCATAGCTCACGTATCATCGTTTCAAAGGACCGTCACAAGCCAATTTCAGTATCGAAAGCTTGTTCATATCAACGATCGTTAAACTTCTATTTTTACCCCGAATTTAATTGTTTACAACTAATATTAAATTTCCGATTACTATTTTTAAGAAGTTCAATCCAGAGCACTTTGGACCAGAGAATGTCAAGAAGATTGATCCCTTCGCATCACAAATGTGTCGTTTTCAGCAAGTCCAAGGTAAATTATTTTTTCGCCTCAGCCTAGCTCTGTCAGGGAATGAGCCTGAGCTGAACGAAGAAAGAGTGCAGTTTTCTTAGCAACGGACGCTCCTATGATTGGAACTGAACTTCGCTGGTTCACAAATGACTTTGAAATGCACGCGTTACGGTTGCATCACTACCAACAAAATGAATACTCCAGACGATGACCATATGGCTCTTTCCAACTGGTGAGGGGTGCTTCTGTTCGAGGCGGATATCCAACTGTGCATTGACTTGGGCGGCATAGAAGCCCAGACACAAATGTCTGTCTGTTGTCTCAAGAGCACACAACAGAGCAGGATAAATCAAATGTTAAACTGCGATGATTTCCAGAGTCTAATACAGACACGCAAACCGCTGCTTTTGCCCTTTTTCCTCTCTTGGCTTGTAATCTTTCGAGTATGTAATCCACCTTGGCACGAGCACCCCCTCAACGAGTGAAAAGAGCCATGTTAGTGGGGAGTGTGTCAATTTTGTTGGTAGTGAACGGCTGCAACACTTGAGTCACATAGTCGTCGAACTAGTTAAAGTCGCTTGTGACATCAGGTGTAACATTACATAGGAATTAAATTTTACTTAAGTTTCTTTGAACTTGGGGTGTCAAAAAGAAAACCCAGAAATTCTGAGAATACAGACTGAAACCTTTTATCATCAGCTGTCAATCACTGCTGGATCATTTTTGGTTAAGGAATATTTTAAGGTTCGCATATGTAATTAGCGACGGAGCATTATTCATAGCAATGTTTCCCCTTTTCATCATTGACTTGTATACTGTATTGAAGGAGTTCCAAGTGATTAAACATAATCGTTTGTTTGAGAGTAAACATGTAATTATTTCTTTCTGTTGGATTTTTATTTAAAACAGGAGAACTAATTATAATAAGGAGAATTAAACGAAATTTTCTTTTATAAATACTACTCCTTTGTTGAATAATGAGAATCGAGATTAAATGTTCTTTGATCACGAAACTAAACCAAAAGGTTCTTCAGATTTTGATCCAGAAATAAATTTAGCGCCTGCGATTAATTTGCATCGCACATAATTGTACAAAATTAAAACGCAGGCTTCGCCAGACCTTTAGTGAGAGAGGTAAATACGTATATTTGGATATTTTTGATTCGTCAGGATGGTGTCATCGCACATGGCGATTTTGTTACTTATATTTGCCAAATTCTGTAAAAAGAAATGGTGGGATACGTATTTGAAATGAGGTAATGAAGACGTTATTCGGTGCTTCATTATTAGATCCAAGATGTTCACTAGACTCGTCCAACGGGTCAATTTCGACTAATACAACGAATACAATTTAATTGCTCAGGACGCCATCCTTTCAATGAACTCGCAGTTAGCATTCTCCTCTCCAATGACGTCAGTGATGATGGCATCAAAGTGATATAATGCAGATATTTCATCAGCTAAAACACGGTTGACAATCGGCAAAAATTGGCCAGTGGGAATCGATGAACTGCCTAAGGTATTTTTAAATCGTTTAGAATAAACACTATTATTAGAATGAATTATTACTACATACTACCATGAAAGCAGGTAATACGACACTGCAGGGGACATAGGAATTAAACGCAGTGCCCAACTGACCATACCCCCTTCAGCCTGTGGCAGAAATAGTGCCCTTTATCATGTTTTACCAATCGCTACAGGTTGAAAAAATGCTCATGTGAAACTACGATTAACATCATAAGAAAGGGTAATTTCTATATCGACTCCAGTGACAACAGTTTTTGTGCAAATTACAAAAATGAGCTTCACCTTCACAGACTGAATGTACTCTCAAACAGACAATACAGGATTGTACTTATCATAAACACAGAAAGTGAAAAGAGTTCAACATAAAACAAGAGTTAACAGTTTTAATTCATGATTACAAAGAAAAAGAACGTTTTAAACGCTGGTTGTGAATAAGCACCCGATCCAACTACCCACCGCTACTTATAAGCAAGGCCTGTGCAGCAAAATAGCCTACAAGAACTGTGATGCTAATATATTATCGTATGATGCAATACAGTGGCACACTTATAAGTGAGGCTAGTCAGCGTCAAAAAACTTGGGAAGCAGGAGGCTCGAACAAGCCTCACTTTTAGGTGTGCCTGCTGTGCCTACATCATACGATAATATATTACCACCACAGTTAGAGCATGGCTGTTTAGCTGCACAGGCCTCACTTATAAGTAGTGGTGGGTAGTCGGATCGGGTGCAATAAACTTCTGTCATCAAATATTTCTCTCTGACTCTAAGAATGACAATACAATCTTTTCGAGTGAAATTTGGCAAACGACGATTATTTTTCCAAAATGCATTCAACAAAGAAATTGAGCATCCGCTCAGTCAACCTTCCTACGCTAAATGTCAGGTAATATTCACAGGTTTAGATCATTGGGAGACTTTTTAGACACCTGGTTGCCCTAAACATACTGGCCTCACGTTACCACTCATTCTAAGGTACTCAGCTCAGGATGACGCAACCAATCGTGGACAGGTCACGTGGGCCTGGTATATGTGCCGCCACCAAGCGTCTCAAAGTCTCCATTGGAAACAACAGGCATGTAACACACGTCACAGTTTATTGTGCGCTTTCCTATGGCTGTGAGGTGGGACGCGATCCATCGATTCCCCACAGGAGAGTGCATTTGTAAACAAAGCATGACGAGCAGGGCGCTGGGAAGGGCTGACGACCTTACACAGATGAATAAATACGTCACGCACGGTCACATTTAGCGACGTGCAGAGCATTGTGGATAAATTTCTGCCAGGCACGAGAGCTAGCTCAATGTGACTTTTTCTTTTTCTTCCTCATTGCCGAAAATATTTTCTCTTCACTTTATTAGTTCATCCAAATCGATCAAGATAAACCAATGACCACCAAAAGACACCTGATCAGAGATACTTTAGTGAGAAGATAAATCACTGTGATTGTTACAAGGCTATGTTTTTATCATAAAAGCTGACACTTTAGCCCGAGCCAAAGCACAGCTATTGGCGAACAAAAAATTAGAATAACGCTTCGCTAACAGGAAATGATAACCTCGCGGTCGGAGGTCGTACACGAAGCAGTCAATCACAGTGCGAAGCCAGCCTCGTTGGGACGCTCGGCGACAAGTGATGTGGCTTTACGCCTCATAAAGTGTACACGCTTTCCGTCAACACTCGTCTTTGTTGTTAGGCCCTACAGGTAAAAATTGTGCCTATAATGAAGCCTTCCGAATGTCCACGAATCTGACTGCTTGCAGCACACTGAGCCTAAAGTGAGCCCATGAAAGGTTCATAAACTGTAACACGCATATGTCGACATTATACATTGCATTCCCTTTTCAATTTACATCATAACATGACAAGGAATGCGCAGATAAACTATCACTTAAAATGTTATTGGGCAGGCATTTTACAAACAAAAGGGGCTATGTTGTAGCAACCCCAATCATTCCAGTGCACACCATACCAAAGCACGGCGCATTTCTCGACACCCCCAGTCGGTTCTCCCGGACTCCAATCAGTGAATCCACTTCCATTCGACCCATCTACCCACTGGTACTTATCTAAACTAAGCCTATCATAACCGATCCACACAGCAAAATTGCTCTGCGGCAGGGCCGCGGCATTGTACTGCAGCAGAAAGGCGTTCTCCGCGGCGCTGAGAATAGACGCCAGGTGAGCTGATCTCCCCGGTTGGGAGAGTTCCTGACAGTGGCTTTCAGCCTCTTCGTAGCTGAGCCTCTGTTTTACGATTAGATAGCAGTGGTCGAAGGTCTTCCAGTGCCCCGGCCCTGGTAGAGTGGCACAGGAAGCAGCTGATTGGTAAGAGAAGAGGCGATTTCAAATCGATTTAAGACTCCGATGGAGAAAGTAAACCTGGCCAAAAGTAGGGCTGTGCCGAATAACCGAATATTCGATCAATTAGCGAATAATCGAATATTGTTTGTCGAATTAGAATTTTGGAATGCAAAATTCAAGAAAAGGAAGGGAACATTTTTTGTTTTAAATGAGAAAATTGCACTATGGAGGCTTGTTTCAAGCAGATTCAAATGAAAAGTGTCAGAAATCTTACAACGGTTTAAAAAGTAACTTATTCTTTAAACAATTAATTTAAAAGGAATAGAAATTTTCAACTTGGCAAGTCGCCATGAAAGGCAGTTTTTTGTCTATTTTTTTTTACACTTTAAGGTTCGTGTACTCCATTGATGATAATTGCCCCCAACCTTCCAAGATAAAAAAACGCATGCACAACGGTTAAGATACGCCCCATTTATTATAATTACCCCTAACCTTCCTCGGAGAAACTTTATGCAGACCGTCCTAGCTCTTTGGTCAAACGCACCCATTGATTACAACCGTTCATTGGGTAATTTGATAAACCTTGAAGTTACGACAAGCAATAACTTTCGGGTCCTTAGTTCCGTGTAGGCACCTAATTGTATGTGTAGTAGGCGTTGTTAAAACCTGAATGACGTCACGCTTACGAACTTGATTGGTTTAAGGCCAGCGTCGGAATCTAGTAATGTTTTGTGCGCATGTTACTTAGACCTGATGCCTACTTTGTGGAAAAGGGATGAGCCACTCCCAGCGCTCTGTCAGGGTGGTAGAAATGACCAAATGTGTGAAAATTGGGCCCTACCTTTGCAGTTGAAGAGGGTCAGAAACTCTTCAGCAACTTCGGAGAAAAGCAAGCCCCCACCGCGATCGACGGGCGCAACAGACAACAGTGGGGCAGTGGTAAGTACCCCGCCGGGCCTTACGGCGGTGCACCGGCAAGGCTCCGTCACCGGAAGCACCCACCGCGCAGAATTCAGCGATGCATCAAAGATCTGCCCAGCGTAGCACACAGAAGCTGAGGATGACCGAACGGCGTCTGAGTAGTACATTAAAGAGCGCCCTCAATTAAACTCAGATTGAGGGTACGATATAAAAGAAACCGTTGAGAGACAAACTCTCCTAAACATTGGTCGATTTATCCTGGTCACCTGTAGTTATTTGCATAATTAGAATAGCCTATCATATCAATTTTAATGGGCATGCAATTCTGTAGGTGTTGGAATGGCTAAACAAACATCAATTTATTTGAATGTGCGTATAGGCCTAATAACTGATCCAATCCCGTAATCAAGACAGAGCAATTTTAAAAGAGCGTGGGCTCGATTATCCCTCTCGAGCAGAAGCACCCCCTCATCGGTTGAAAAGAGCCGCGTTGATCGAAAGTGCTCAATTTGTTGGTAACAATTCGACCGTGACGTGCACTTCTTAGTCGTTCGTGAACTAGCGAAGTTTAGTCCCGACCAAAGGAGTTTCCGTTACTAAGAAAATAGCGTCCTCTCTTGGTCCAGCTCAAGGCACATATCACACAGGGATTCACTTTTAAGGATTCAGATAGAAAAATCAAATACATGTAATCTTGTAACCATAGTCCTTAATCGTGCACAGCCTTTTCCAGATTTCAAATGACATTTTGGCACCAAGTAGTGAAAAAGACCGGTTCTTAAGAGTTCGTTTTCAGCACTTTTTGTCCAACATTTTTTGAGTGCAGTGCTGAGAAGAGATTGCAATTATAAAGAATCTAACACGGCTCATTAGTGCCAACAAATTGAAATGGTCATTCTAAAGTTTTACTTACTGAGAAAGAGGATGACAGTAATAAGGGCCTCCTCGATTCTCATTTCCTGCACGATTTTGAAACGTTGCCGTAAGTGTTTCTTCTGTCAATATGTATAAAACAAAGACATCTGAACATCAAACTAGGAGATAAAGTTATCAGATCATTAAATTGTCTCTCGCTTAAGGCTCATTCTCCCTCCCGTAATACCACTCACGAAAAAAAATTGCAAAGTTAAAGTAGAACAAATCTGTCAACCCTTGCGCACCCCTGTAGAACACAGTGTGGCTCCCACAGCGAACAATTCTCCCTAATTTGAGAAATCGCCAAATGCGGTAGTCACCTCGGCCACGCGATCAAAACATTTCCCACCGATGCCGAGATTTTCCGAAATTGGCCGACATTGTCCGAATTCTTTCTCTAATTTCCGGGTAGTATTATTACATTCGCAAATGCTTTGCGCGTATAAACTGCTTCTCTTTGTAATTTTCCAAACATACTTAAAATTCGAGAAAAGAAATCATAATTCTGTCTTAGTACTTTTTGAACAAAACAGACCAGTAGAATGCGTTTATCACAAAGGCATTGGCATAAAGCTAACTGGATCTGTATGCTGCCATATTGCTACTTCCCTATTCATCTGAAAATGAATCTTTCAATGCCATGGTATATTAGGTTTGACCAGGCAGATCGCTTAAAGGTAATGAGCCAGCTCCGTATTACAACAGCTCGTGCCCAGTACCCGGCTATTCGGGAACAGCTACGTGCGCGTGCGATGGTCAGTGTTCCCGAAAAACCTTGGCTTTTGGAATTACCGAACCGGCCCATTACTCCCAAGACAGGTGGCTGGCACCATGTCTCAAGATTGCTCAAGTATGCAGCAATATATTATGTCTACGATCAGTCGTATACTTTGGTAATGGTTATAATGGTAATTTTGACCAATAAACCACACTCTGAAAAATATATCCCATTCACTTAATGGGCTGTTCTGGTGTTTTCACCGATAGTTCTTAATTTCAACTCTACACTGATCAGATAAAAACCTTCCGGTCCATTGTGTTTTCTAAATTGGATATTTGGTCGTGAGGACATTAAAATTTATAGAGGGTTATACGAGCCCAATTTGGGGACTTTTTGACCTTCTTTTAATGTAGTGGTTTTTCAGTGGCCCACGAGATGTATAGGGGAGAAATAAATTAAACCGATTTATTACAAAGTTTCAACGTCAATTTAAAGAGTACAGTTTAAAATTGCTGGGTGTCTCTGCTCCAGGCCTTAAAATTTCAAGATATATTTACAGTTTTAAGTTACACGATAATATGTTTTTAATTAAAGCAAGCAAGAAGCTCTAAAAACGAAAAATCTACAAATTCACAGCTAAATCATATTCATATCATATAAATATCATTATATCATATTTAAAACTATATCATGCTATGGCCGCATCAAACTTCAAACTATTTTATTTTAAAAAATTCTGCTGGACATTAAAAAACATCGTTTAGTACCAATGCGGCTCAGCAACTTAATACACACATGCCTTAGCAATGAGTTTGTTCCACGAAAACAACGACGCCTGAAACCAAGTCGCTCTGGTGTCGATCTGAGCACGTTCAATAGTCCATCTTTTTGCTGTACTCAATTCCAAACTTGCTTTTAATTTGGTTCGGTGCGATTTTAAAACGCTTGTCTTAAATCATGATTTGGGTCCTCTTTGTCTCTTCGTGAAAACATTGACGAGTTATTTCGTGATGTCAAAATTCGCTTCGCTTGCACGTTTGCCTAAAGTATGAGTAGGACTTATATTCTGCTTTTATACTCGTTAAAAATAGAAAAGGGTAACTTCAGGTAGACAAATTTCAACCGAAGCGAGCTTCGCTGCAGATGATTTGTAAGGTCGAATTCGCTTCGCTTTTACGTTCGCTTGAAATCGGAACCGGCCTTTAGTGCACGTGTATGATACGAAAGCTATTCTCTTCGGTATTCCATGTCTTATCTCTTTCAAGCGTATTACAGCAATTGAACTGTTGGATCTCATGCTCTGATTGCCAGTGTGGTGCAGCGTCACATTATATTGGCACCAATGGGCATCAACACCGCTCTGACGAGACCTTGACGGGGTAGAATAATTGTGGGAAAATAGTGAAAATGTTAATCAGGTGTGGTAACGTCTGACTGTTGTGATACAGATTGGCAGAGTGCAACTTGGTGGAGGTTTGAATAGCGAAAACATTTCCGAATGACAGAAAATTGACGTGGCAATAAGAAGCGAGTGCAGTCCCGAAATATGCGACGTAACCCTGTTCAAATATGAAAAGGAAATCATGCTCCCTCGCAATCCTTAAATTGTGAGCTACATGAGATACAGAGACGATGTCGTCATAATGTTCGACAGTAGTGTAGACGAAGCCGGTTAACTCGTTACTATCCCAAATCAAATTCACCAACGCTTAAGTTCACGTCAGAGATTTCGCATGCCAAGTTACTTTCCTCGATCTCGTCATCTACAAAGGCGAACGGTTTAGAACAGAAGAGAAACTGGACACTCGGGTTGCTACCAAAACACCGGATACATTTTAGTATCTTGCTCGAGATTCAGCCCGACCTAAGTCAGTATTTGGCGGATTAATCAAGGGACAAGTAGCAAGATATGACCGTATATGCTCACACTCTATAGATTTTGAGGAAAAGGTTGAATTCTTCAGGGACAAACTTATAAGACGAGGATACTCCCACCAAGACTTACCCCTCCTTCTTCTTCTTACCCCTTGCTTATCTTTGTTCTGGCCTACTACCCACAAGTGTGACATTCAGCGTTGAAACAGGCCCTTCTTAAAAACTGTGATTTGATCGACCGAAATGAATATGCATATAAAAGGCATCCTATGAATATAAAGGATGACCCAGTACGGTTGAGGATTTATCGATCTGTACTATCCAACCAAGAAGAAAAAGAACTGGATGTGGAGGACATTCAAATCCTAATGGAACTCCTTGAGAAAAAATTAAAAAGTATCGGTTAGGCATGGAATTGAGCCCCCCGAAAAAAACTGATATCCGTAAGGAAAAAGTTAAACTAAACCACACTTAACTTTTCCAAGTAGAGACACAGTTTTCTTCCTTATTAGCGTTAACAATAAAGGGCTAAGCCGTGGGCAAAAGTCGTTTCACCGTTGGTCACGAAGAGACAAAGTTGATTCAAAAATGTATACAGATGTGACAATTTTGAACCTGGCATACCTTTGGCAAAAACGTGTACGTGCGAAGAGGCAAAAGTCACATGAATTTTAACGTTTTTACGACAGACAAAAGTGGTTGTTTATAAAATAAACAAACCTGTATTTGATCTTTGGTGATTATTATTTTGTAGTTTGATGTTGTGTCATTGATGATTAACACAAATTAAAAGAAACAGTGAGTATGAGTCGCAGAAGATAAAAATGAGATTTATGTATATATTGGTTTTATATCCATATAGAGAAAACCAGAGCTTCACTTCTTCGGAAACTTAGCACTCACTGGATGACCCATCCTCTTAATCTTGGCTTACCTATTATTATGCTGCGTGTCCCGGTTTCCTTTCCTTCTGCAGAAGTATTGCACTCTCCTACGGATATCCTACACGTCTTGTGACGATCCCAGCATCGTCCCAACTGTACGAATGCCTGCGCCTCTGCAGATCTGTCGGCTCCACCAGTTAGATAGCAATAACCCTGCAGTAGAAGTTGCTGCTGGCTCTCGCGTCTGCGCAATGACAAGGTGTAGCTCGCTAGTAGTACGGAGCCTTGCAAGAGCCATCCGATTTGTCACATTTCCTATGTCGACACTTTACAGGCAAGCTGTCGATCCAGAGGGTACCTTATTCCTCTTTTACCCTTAGATTAGCTTTGTGATATCTCTTCGTATATAACCAAACTTAAATCTGAAAATTTCGTCCTGACGTGATGAATTATGTCAAGATGTCGACATCTTCAATGCCCGTTTAATATCTTTACCTTAAGATAAATATGCTGAGAGCTTAACAAATCGAGTGGCACTTCCACAACTCCGCAGTCATCGCCTACCAGTTGTTATACTTTAATCAACCCATGAATAGCATTAATTGCACTTCATCTAGCTATTTACATACTGATGCACAAAAATTCGTTGAGAGGAACCTTTTTTTCTTCAAAATTCATGCATGGGGGGTCTTTTTCAAGGTTATCCCGCCAAATGTCATTCATTATGCCACGCTTCATCGCGAATTCAAATTTTGCTTTGCATGAATAATTAAGCATATCTTGCTACCTGGAATTGTTCACGAGTAAAATGAAGACTGACTTCCTTAGGCGTATTTTATGACCATTCAATGGAGATCAATGGAGATCACTGGAGAAGAGAGGCAGAATTGTGCAGTTTGGCCTTTCAAACGATGGAAATGCAAATCAGTGCAAGCCTTTTTGTTTCTTTTCTATAGTGATTTAAGCTTTCACGAGCGGTTTCGGGCTAATATGGGCCTAGGCTCCTATGTTCAAAATCTGTGTAATATTTATTTTTTTTAATTGCCCTGGTGAAGAATTTAAAACCGTCTTTACCCTTGTGTGTTTTTCAACCGCGAAGGATCATACGAATATTTAAAATTCGCACATGAGAATGATTTTAGGAAAAGGCACAAACCTCGCGGTGTCAAATTTAGCAGTGAACAGAGACTCTGCCCCCATTGTGATCCTTTGTGATATCAAGGAGAGAAATGAAATCTAATAATAATACAAGTTTTCTGAAGTGCGTTGTCCGCAAATTCCACAAAGTACAACTTATCAAATTAGAGAAAATGAACAATATATAGGTGCAATTAATTTTCTCATTGATGTGATATGAGTTTACCTCTGAACTGCTGAGTGATGTTGCAACGAAGGAGGGAGGGAGGGAGGGAGGTGGACTGGATCTGGACAAAAGTGGAGTCCACCTCGGCCTGGATGGTCTTCTTGGTGGCTCGGGTCAGGTGTATTCTCTCACGCAGAAAACGGATAGGGGCTGTTTCTGCTGCTTTCAGGCCTCCCTTGGTGCGGACTGGAGGTCGCATCGCCCTGAAGGCTCTACGGGAGGATCGTTCCATCATGATCCTCTCCGCAGACAAGGGCCATGCCAGCATGATCCTCGACGCTGAACATACTGGGACAAGATGAGCGAGCTCATCTTGCCCCCCCCCCCCCAGAATGTATGGTTTACCCAAGATCCACAAGCCGGGGACGCCCTTGAAACCCATCATTTCGTGCGTGAGCACCTTTGCCTACAACCTCTCCAAGCATCTAGCTGGGATCCTGTCACCGCTGACCGGCAACACACCGAACACCGTGCCCAACTCCACAGCCTTCGCAGAGTTCCTCCGCGGGCTGCATATAGACAGCCACGAGGCGTTGATCTTCTTCGACGTCGAGTCGTTAATACCAACGTCCCCATAGACGACGCTTGCTGTTCGCCCCGGTAAAGATACTTGATTGCCAATTTCCCCACAACTTTTACAACATATGATCAGTGCCCTTCCTACCGTATGCTCATCGAATTTCGAAGTGGTTTTATTTAAGGCGGTTTTCCTTAGTGCCTACTTTGGTTTCATGCGGGTTAGCGAATTCGCTGTTCGCTCCAATTCCACCCCTTTTGACTCTGTTTTGAGTTGTCAAGATGTATTTTGCTCACGATCAAATACTAGTAAGGAATCCGTTTCAGTAGTGATTCATTTCAGGAAGTCTAAAAATAACCAGCGTGGCCCCCACAAAGTGTTCGCTTGGTGCAGTCTCTGGGCAATTCCGTTTGCCCAGTTTCAGCATTATTGAATTTTTCCTCAGTTCGCCCCCAAATTGCTGGGCCGTATTTCTGTCACTTTGATGGCCGTCCCCTCACTCAATACCAATTCAATGCAGTTTTGCTGAAAGCCCTTTCGCATTTGGGGCTCGAGAGGTCCTTTCGCATTGGGTCTGCATCGTCTGCGCATGAGGGTTGCCAGGGCTGACATACTCAGTATGGGGCGCTGGCGTTCCAATGCATTCTTGTCCTACATACGCCCCCTACCGGTTTGCCACATCGAAGCCTCGGGGGGATCGCACTCTGGCAGACCCCTCTATGCCAACCCGCAAACATTATTCACTCCATCTGGGATTTTCTGATCAGCTTCTGACTAGTTTATTTGCTGCTTGCTTTACTCAGATATCGTCTGGATAGTGGGCGACTCCATCATATGCCGTGTAGAGTGTGGTTTTCCCCTCCCACTCACTATTCACTGGAAGGGTAAAGGCGGGGCAGGTGTGGCCGATCTCTATGACCTTAGGGAGCAGCTGATAACCCACCAGTTTTTCTTCTGGTTCAATTAGGTACCGATGACCTAGTTAAAATTGACGAGTTTGCCCTTCGTCAGAGGGTTGTAGTCATGCTTCGTGACCGTTTAGATTGGTGCCCAACCATGACAATTATTTAGTCCGATATTCTTCCCAGAGTTTTCTATTTCGGGGCTCATTCCCAGCCTGCATTGGAACGTAAGCGCCGCACAGTCAATCGATGGGCCCGATCCCAGTTTGCGAAGATGCCGCGTTCACTTTGCTTACATCATCCCCAATTTCAGTGGTCTGAATTTTCTCTGTACCAGTATGATAGGGTTCATTTGTCCCCTGCAGGCACTCGTGTTTTCCAGTCTCATATAGAGCAGTTTCTTAGGTCCCATATCTCCTTGTAGATCAACATCACATAGGCCCTCTTGCAGTCATTTCAGGTTTCTGGCTGTCTTCTCCTTGTGGGCGTGCTCTGCGCGGGTGGCAATTTTTGCGGATACAGACAGCCAGTAACCTCCCTGTTCCTCACTTGGCATTTAAACCACTTTGGGCTCGGGTATTATTGTTACGATAATTTCAGGTTTCCATAGCGCTAAAACATGTCATGAGGCTGATTAGAACAGCAGTGGGAAGCTTTCATATATTAATCCACGTATTCAGTGCATTGCCCATAGCGCTCGAAAGTGTCCCGAGGATATGTTTTCCCGACCGAAGGTAACATCGGTGGGAACGGTGATTGTATGTTAATGCATGTGTGAACTGTGGTTTGGCTCATGTACATGTAGCTTTGAACATGTGGTATTGCCCATACTTACTTGTCGGGCCGTGTGTTGCCCTGGGGCCTGGGATTGCCCAATAACTGGTTGGGCCAAGTGTGTCCATTACTATAACATTTGAAAACCGGTATGCCCAAATCTGGTATCCAGATGATCAAACCTTCAGGCTGTGGTATGTATCTCAATAATTTGTGTCTGCATGACTGCTTTTCATTGAGTCTTAGTATAATCATCTATTAAATGGTTGGTCCTTGAACACACAAGTGTCCCATTTCATTTGTTGACTCATCGGAAACAAACCACTCTTTTAAAATTGTTCATCCCTTTATCTGTCACTCTCTCCCTCTCTCTCCATCTCGTTCATTTGTTTGGCTATTTATTGTGTCAAAGTTGTGCAGTAGTAGCGAATGGGTACTTTAAAAACGGAAAAAGAAATTGCATTAGAGGTAAATCAGACAAAAAGGCGATCTATGCATTTTAAGCTGCTTGGATGCCGAAGGGTTTTTATTCGTTACTATCAAACGGGAAGGATTCGAGACCTGATTGCATGCAAGACTTTGAACAAAAAAATTTGCTGACGGATATTGTACGCCTATAGGATGTAAACTGCTTGATTCGATTGCCTGAGTTATTTAAAAGCGATGAATTAAGAATTAAGAGTTCCTTTGATTGGAGCGATGGAAACCATTTGTCCTTTTTTAAAGCCACATTAAATGCTGTAAGGGTTTTTGAAGCGATGCTTTGAGTTATGATTTAATGATTATCATTATAATAAATTGTTAAATTGAGCTGAGTTGATGCTAACCTCTTTGTAAATTCTAACGGAATTTTGTAAACTGGTAATAGATTAATCTTACCACTTCTTGTTCTTGATTGAAATCTTAATCCAAATTTTCAACAAGTGTGAAGCAATTGAAGTATTCTGGGCACAACACAACTGGGCACAACACAACTACTCAACTGCTTTGAGCAAAATACCCCTTTGTTAGAGTATACTTCATTATGATATCCGGGTAAATCTCCTACACACAATTAGGAACAAGGGTGTTTCTAGTGTGTTGTACTCAACCTTGCTCGAGTTTCATCGACCTTTGCCTTTTTGCGCAAAATATTCTTTTTTGCTGTTAGATGTCTCAATTTCAAAAGTTATTTTTGTCAGAAATTTGTGACCATAATCAATCAGTTTTTTTTAAGGAAATCGTGATGCCAAATTAAAATTAAGCTGTCATTTTTAAGGTCATTCCTTGGGTCTATCCTGTACTTTTACTATCTTATTCCTTTTTAAACTTGCCACCTGATGGGCCTTTCCCGCGCAGGCACTTCCAACAGAAATGGCACACAGACAGGTTGATCACGATAACCGAGGCCAGAACCAGTGCAATGAAGAGGTAAACATCTAGAAGATACGTCTGGACAAAGTTCAAATCCAGAACGGCGGGTCGCAGGTGGTCTCCGCCGAATTTAGTCACGTGTAGGATCCAGCGAGCCACGTTCTCTTCTGGGTTGGGCGTGTTCTGCAGGTCGCGCATGATCTTCGAGACACGTTGTGCGTTCTTGCGGAATCTGAAGAAAGTTGTTTTCAAAGTAGGTACAAATGCATCTGTGGGCTACAACTATTGCCTTGTTTCTGTGAATGAACCATGACTTCAGTATAAGGTAAACTATAATGACCACTTTTTTAGCAAATGAGTTTTAACTCTATCGCTCATTCGCTACAAGACTTCCATACATTCGCAATTGATGTAAAAAATTGCACCAAGAAGCACGTGTTCTTGGAGTAATAACCTCCCTGGAGACATATTTGGCGTTTGTGCTTCAATGTCCTTAAAGAAGTTCATTTTTCAAATATGCTGCTATCAGTCTTGCAAGTTTGTTTTCTTGGTTGGTCGGTAGATTGACGACTTAATAATTTATTTCTGTGACCACCCATGAAACAGTATCATTTCTTACCTGGGCTCCGTCATGATTCTGCAGATAGTTTCGCTCAAAGTCTGCGATGTGAGGCTTGCAATGTCCAGCGTCAGGCCGGCACCTCGTGCCTCGACACGGACCATATTGTCCATTTGGTCCTCAAAGAGTGGTATCCCCACCATTGCCAGTCCGGCCCACATTGCTTCGTTCGTACCGAACGATCCAGCGTGGGTTACGAACACTTTGACGTTGGCGTGTTCTGTTTAAATGTGGATATAAACGGGGCCCAATTTCATCAGTGCACGTTGGCAAGTACATAAAGGCGCCTTTCCATAATTATGCACGTCAACACTTGCGCCAAGTGTTTTGTATCAGTCAAAATCGCTCTTGGGGCGATTTTGACGGCCGAACACAACGCTCACGTGTTATATAAAGGGGTCGATTTTTAAGTCCGTGAAAGTGAAACGCATGAACGCAACGTACCCAAAAACGTACATATGGAAAGGCGCCTATACGTGTAAAGTTAAACAGTAATGTCATAAAACCAGCAAAATCTGCATTCAGCTCTAGGCGTGTAGCCTTCATGCAGTCAAGGCGTACCACACGAAAGGCACAGTGCCTGATAACCTGCACTCCTTTTAGTATGTCGCTATGTACGCTTTAACTCATTTCCCGAGGTCTCGCGCAAAAAAAAACACACATTAAACTTTGTTTTGAACAACCACATGGCGGAGCAGGATGCCATATGCATGAATGTTTTGTTATATCGAAGACAGCAACTTCTGCTGTGGTATCAATTTCTTTCATTCTGAAATCTTGGCGTGTTTGAATTTCGGCAATCTTTTTAGCAGGTTTTTGGCCACCTTTTTAAATAGGTATTCAAGAGCGCGCGCCTCCTGTGAGTCAGGTGTGTTATAAATGAAATCGGCTATCGATAACCAGTGATGCCACCATGCCCCTGGTTCTTAACAGTCGACTAGCTAATCTAAACCATCCATCATCCAGGAAGTGTTTGTCGATATATAGAAAACTATAGTCATCGTTCGAATTTGCCCTAATGTGTGAAGATAATTTTATCAAAATGACACGAACAACAGTGGACAGGCCATGTGCCACAGGTATTTACGCTGCCAGAAATGGTGTGTGCTATTCATGCTAACCGAGCACACGAACGGCAAGTCGGTAGGAGTATCCGCCTCGGGCAGAAGCACCCCCTCATCAGTTGAAAGAGCCATGTTGGTTGGGAGTGCTCATTTTTGGGTAGCGATGCGACCGTAACGCGTGCGTTTCTTGGTCAATTGTGAACCAGGGAAGTGCAATTCCTACTAAAGGAGCCTACGTTGCTAGGAAACTTGCGCCCTCTCTTGGTTCAGCTCGGGACTCATACTCTTGACCCGAGAGTAATGTGCACGCACCATTTTCTGCACTTGGGAGTCAACACGAGTAGCATGAGCGAACGCACCCGAACCGTCTGAAAAGTTTCCCATTCTAAATTAGGTATATCCACCATCTTCAGTGTGGCCGAAATGGCCTTGTTCTGTCATTAATGCTGATTTTTCACAGGAATTAGAAGGACCAAGGACCGATCCAATACGAAATTTTCGGGGGAGGGGGCCAAAGTTGTTTCGGGGCAAGAACTAGAAAATATCAAGTGGCTCCTATTTGGGGAGGAAGCCATAATCCCTGTTGCCCACCCCCCCGTCTATATACGTACCCTTGCATCTAATTGTGTACTGGTAGGCCTAGATGCATCCTGTTTCAATAAGTATGCATGCAGAATAAATACACTTTTATACAATGTATTATAATTGCAGTGGTCGTCTTGATTAAAGGCTCCGGGCTAAATTTTATTTTCCGCACAATTATACTGCCTGTCGGCGCAAAAGTCGCTGTGCAGTCCACTAATTTTGATTTACAAGTCATGCTGTGCTGTTCTAGTGAAAATAATATCATAGCTGCCGAAGATGCGCAAAATAACGCCCATATTAAAGGACAGCGTGGAAAATGAGCAAAACCAGCATGGCCTAAATGTACTCAACACGTGATTCAGCTGTGCGAATGGATTTGCATATTGTGCTAGTAGCGCTGTCTACTTCCACCTTGACCTTCTGTGTGTCATGCATAATGACCCTTTTTGCGAGGGGAGAGCGGGTAAGCGAGGCAGTTCTTTCCTCGCTCTGAGGCCGGGGTTCAAGTTCATGGCCCAGGCTTCAAGTACATTTGGTTTCCAGTCCATACTCGCTTTCGCAGTTTTTTCCGGTCACTACAGTTTCCTCTTGCCACTAAAACTGGACCTCCTTCTTAACTCCGTAATGTGATGCTTATTAATAGAGATTATGAATACAACGTATAGTTATTGGTGCAAATAGAACAACAACTCTTTGTTCAGATTTCGCTGTGAGCGCATAGCCAATACGACAGACGGAACAAAAATGCCCACCATAGCGGAACAAATAAACTTTAATTTCATGGTCCTTACGTGATAACTATCCTGACCCGTGCATTAAAGGAGCTGTTCTATATTTAGGCTATTGTACACCATGTTAACCCAGGGGGCTACACGAATTTTGATATCATATGCAAAAACAAAGATAAGTGTGATACCCATGACATGTGTCAACGGTAGCCACTTCGCAAACATCGTATTGTTCCCGAGGCTGAGTCCCGTCAGATTGGCGCCTGACTGCCACAGCACCCGAAAAGGTAGCATAGAGAATGCGTTTGCAAAGACTTGGGCCTGGTCCCTTTTCATCTTGTTGACAAAAGAACCAAGGGAGAATAGCACCACCCCATCCTGGGCCGTGTCCAGGAACTTGGCAACTTCCCCATCCAACTGGAAATTCAGAACAGAAACGAAAACACCAGAAGTTTTGAAACATGATTATGTATATATTTCATTAGGGAAAAATAGGGCCTATTCATCTTTGACAGAGTAATTAATACCATGGTTACCGTCAACAGATTTAAATTTATCAGGAAGAATAATTACTGCCATCATAAAAAATGTTTTCTTTAGTCTGCGCACCTAAGGCAAACCCTACATACTTTGATTATTTTTTCTCACACAATTGAAATGACTATAAGCCTTAAAACTGATTTATGTACCTCATTTTTCAGAATATAAGCCGCGGCTTACATGTTGATTCTCACGCTGAAAAATGTTTCTGCGGCTTATACGCTGGGCGGCTTATACGGCAAACCTTGAAGGATAAAATCAGTCACAAAAGCCGCGCCTGGGCCTAGTGCACCACATGCAGGTGGTGCAGTCACATTTTCGTTGGTTACCGTTTAATACATCTAAAAACTCGAACCTCAGAGAATAAATGAAAATTCGAGTCGTCCGGATTCCGAGTTATTAACTGAATGCCCCGAGTCAAAGAGTCACGAAACACATTCATGTACATGCAATGTGTACGTAATCTTCAACTTTACTTGCTCTGTTGTAGCAACATTTTTGGCGATTATTTTCCTGTTTTTATTCATGCCCATGATGTATTTTTTGCAGACGAATAATCACTTTACTGATGATTTTTTATTGTTATAACCTAAAGATGTCTGTCTACCGTTAAATAAAAATCAACGGCTTCAGTGGTGTATCTTTGTGTGGCAGATCTTTCGTCTTTTCACCGATCGCGTTCAGCGAGAGATGCCACAGAATATTTTTCACTTTGGTTTGGGATGACAACAATTCTGTGGTCACATGATTATCGGAAAGAGTCAGCGATGGGACTGTCATTGAATGGTCTGCGGTAGCAGTCAAGCTTGCCTGAAAACAGGGTTTGACTGCATGCAGTGCGTGTGCCGCGGGCACTGCGTGCAACTTGCAAATAACACAAGCGGTTCCAATGTGATGACTCAACTGGAATAAAGGTCTTGCGGCGGAGTTTTCATTTTTGAAGCGATTTGGCGGTGTTGTTTTGTAGGGAAGCGTGTTTTGGGGGACACCGTAGTTTATGTGGCACCCCGCCCAGCCCTCTAGAAATGTATAACAAATACCCGCCAAGATAGTGCGGTGGGCGAGTGAACTCTTCCATTCCAGTGTTCTGTCTTCCTTTGCCTTGGCATCCTCAAACAAAGAATTTAAGCGGATCTCCTCAACATATGGCCTGTCAGTACATTTTGATCGGCGACATAGAAACATCCAGATAACCGGATGTAGCATTGTGGAAAGTTATTAGGTATTTATTTTACGTAAAAGCCTATTCTTTTGGCATGAAATAGTCGGCCTTTGAGATAAAACGACCTTTCTAACTAATTAACTTCGAGTTACCGAGATTTTATTGTACGTCCCGACTGCATAACTGGCTGGAATAACAGGCAAGAGCCGATGCAGAGCCCACGCCGGACAACTATTCAGCCCGCCAAAAATTATTAAATTTCAGGACTTAGAATTCACTTGTTATGCTTATATTGACACTCGTTCGCATTTTGCTTTTATTAGGATTGCACGTGTTGTAGAACCATTTACGTACTGTACATGCTGTATTGGCGCTTTAACACGCAGCACGATGACCCTAATGGTTGGATCGTCAGCGCTACGTGTGCGGCTTATACGCCAGTGCAGCTTAAACATCCATTTTAAATTTTCATTTGCCGAGTTTTGCCTTCTGCGGCTCATACACCAGGCGGCTTTATATTTCGAAAATTACTATACGTCAGTGTCAGATGAATGAAAGCAGAGGTGTTCCAAACTTTCTCAAACTTTTTTTCAAACATGTTCTGAAGTTCTCAAGCACTAACCTTTTGATTGTGATCTGATCCGGCATTATGGAGAACATATACCATGTTGGGCTGGATGGGACGAGGAAATTCCAGTCCAAAGCTCCCATGTGCAAAGTGCAACAGGGCTTGTTTGTAAGACTCGAACGTACTGATCTCTGGCTTGATGTTGTACTTGACCTTCAGTTTATCATAGCCACGGAAATCAGCCAAGCCTACATAAAAATGGGTAAAGCTGTAGTAGTAATGGGCCAAGACGTTCTGAACCCGCTGTAGGAACGTCATCCTGTCGGTTAGCCCCATGACACGTTCCGGTATGTAAGACGGATGAACTGGAAGACCGTTCCTGGATAAATACAGGAATAAGAACCAAGCCGACGATGTTATACCAGGCAAGATATGGGACGGAGGGGTACCCCCCCTTACCTGTCCGATCCTTATACACACTCTAGACTATTGTTAACTAACACATTCCCCCTAGAAGTCTGTAAAGAATTCCTGAGATTCCGATCAAACACTGACCAACACAAAGGCGGGGGGGTTCTCTCCTTCCCATACCTTGCTTCAAATGCATAATGTTGTATTCACTCGGTCCATGGAAGCTTAGGGTTTTCGAAATAGAGGGATCCCAATACGACCTTTTAGCGCCGATCTGCGCACTCCTGCGTTTGAAAACGAGGCTGTATGTGTCAGCTTCAATTCTTAATACGATCAGACGATTGAAAGTAAGGAGTCAAGACACAAAATACATAAAAGTATGTTGAATTCAGACTTTTTAGGCTGAAAATGTTTGTGAAGGAGTCTTTCAGGAACACTCGACACGTAAAATCCAAAGAAAAATAGCGACAATTGACCGCGAACTAACGTACCAGCGATGGTCGTGTATCTTGTACAGTGGGCGTCGTTTAAACTGAAGTGGCGTCACGCTTACGAACCGGGTACTCTATATACTGTGTGGACTCCGCGCGCGCTCTCGCGAGGAAGTTCAACACAGGGAGCCTCGGTTTCGATGCAGATATGCGCAGACGGCGCTAATGTGAAATCCATCTATAAGGCTGCATTCGTGTCTGTTGTCCAGAGCTTGGTCTAGCTATAGGTCTTCACTCAATAGAGGGATTTCACATTAGCACCGTCTGCGCATATCTGCATCGAAACCGAGGCTTTCTGTGTTGAACTTCGTTGCGCGCGCCCGCGGAGTCGACACAGTAAATTGAGTATCCGGTTCGTAAGTGTGACGACACTTCAGTTTAAACCACGCCCACTGCACAAGATACACGACCATCGCAGGTACGTTAGTTGCGGTCAGTTGTCGTTATTATTTCTTTTGATTTTTCGTGTCGAGTCACAAAAATTTGCAGCCTGAAATGTCTGAATTTAACATACCTTTATGTATTTTGTGTCTTAACGCCTTACTTTCAATCGTCTGATCGTATTAAGAATTGAAGCTGACACATACAGCCTCGTTTTCAAACGTGGAAGTGCGCACACTGACGCTAAAAGCGTCGTATTGGGATCCCTCTATTGGAAATACGCAAAGACGCGTAGACAATAAACCTAGCTGTAGCTGTGGAAGCCCGTTTCCTATTAGGCCTAAAAACTACTTGCTTTGCTCTGTAAGTAGTGAGGGCCTGTTTGGTACAGGCAAACAGAAAGCCAAAATAAAAAGCCTGCAAAGCCTTGCCTCTGAAATGTACAGATAGACTGCATCCAAATGCATTTTACGAAATAAAATGTAATAAGCTCTGCTTAACACTTTTCTAAGCCCTTGTAACTGATTTTATTAGGGGCTTGCGTTGGGCAGATGGTTTTCAAAATATATTCGCTATCTGAATTTCCCAAGCAGAATACACAGCTGTCCTGTTTGTTTCAATGAGTTTCTTATATCTTCTTTAGCGGGATCGGTCGAGAAAAGATTATTGAAAGAAAAACCACCCGTGCATACGTTAATGACAAGATGAAATGACCAAAGTCACTCAGTTTGTTGTTTGTTACTGCAATCAATACACAAATAAACTCTTTGGGAGACAATTTTGTTGCGTTGAACTATACATCTAAAGTTTAAAGTTTTTGCAACCATTTTTTTGTCAATAAATGATTGTCTCTGTAGCAATTTTGGAAGCCTTTAACCCATTGACTAAAAATGTCTTCATATTGATTTAAACATCACCAACATCAGAATACGACCAAACACGACCCCTTCGAACACATAAACAAGATACGAAATTTTTGAGGACAAGAGTTTCTCCTTTTATTCAGTCCAGTATACATACCAATATCCTTGTCTAGAAGGAACCATAAAGGAGCCACTGTTGAGGATGAAAGGGATGTCTAAGGCCTGCGCTAACAGTGGGCCGCAAGGTGTCACGTCGTCCGCAACAAGCATGTCAAATCTCTCCTCATGAAGTCGTTTCATCGTAGCTGAGTTCCCCAACAGGTCGTCACACTCTTGCACGAGCATAGTCATAAAATCCAGCTTACCTTCCAGGTCTTTTCCGTTCAACAAGGGACCAAAGAAAGTATGCAAGCGACCCTCCAGGGCCACTCTGGATATGTTGTCGAGCACGTCGGTCCTATTGTGTTTTGCGTAGGACGAGTTGAAGACCACAATGGAGAGCACGCCGACGTCGTTTTGCCAGATGTGTGTCGGAATTGAGCTGCTCACAACGGAGACAACGCGATGACCCTGTCGGGCAAGTACTCGGCCGGACCTGGCGAGACTCAAGTAGCGACTGCCTCCCGTAATGGAGCCTAAAAGCAGGAATTTGTACTTTTCTGCGGACGGAGAATTGCCCTCGTTGCTGGACAGAGACGGCACAATGACCAAAGAAAACAAGCCCAAGAGCAACACGACAAATATTGTATGAGACATCGTTTTTCTTAATATCCGACTGTGGGCGCGTCGAACAGAAAAGATTGCTACAAGTTTGGTCTGAGTAAGGCGTTAGTTCACGTGCCTTGTCGATGTATGTGGTCCTGGCGGCGCCAGCCCAGTGATGCGCTTTTTGTATGTAGTGTTACGGGACCAAGACCCGCACTGCAGCTCGTAAGTTTTTCAGTCGACTGTGGGCTAGGGGTTCCAACTTTTCCCCGAGAAGTAGGCCGTAAAGTTCGGTTCCTATAAGCACCGAGCTTTACCTTTGATCATATCGACTGTGCTCCTTGGAATATAACATGTTCTTTTATCATAGTCTATTTGCTTTTGGGGGATCGTTAACAATCCCTTATTTAGTTCAGTTTCATACTATTTTGTGTTATGCTAGAAAACGTCGATTAATCGTCATAATTTGCAAAGCACAGTACAAAGATCAACGCCGATACTGATGGCACTGAAGGCAGAAAAGACATTTTCCGTCTGATCTTTATATTCTCATTCTGATTAGGGAATTATATTAATTGTTCAAGGTATGATAATTATAACACAGGCTCGTTAATTTGCTCGGACGAGAAATGTCCCTCGCAAGGATGAGCAAAGCTGATGGGGAAATAGCGCAGGTTGCACACAATAGTTGCACACAAAGGGCTGCTCGCACTGAGACAACGCGATAACCCTGTCGGGTTTGTGCTTAGTTTGACTTGGTAAGACAGAAGCAGCGGCTGCCTCTATAGTTACAGTCTTATTACATAGACTGTTTATTGTTATGCCAACATTTTACGTGTATTGTTATTGACTCAAGAGTTATATACTCTATTGGTTACACATGTAGCGTGGTCACAAATCATGGCTTTACCTGAAAGTATTGCTGATGCAATTTTGAAATCCAATCAAGCTCCAGCTGATACATTGGCTGGTGCTTTCCAGAACCTCCGGTATCAGAGTGGCATATTGGTAGCCTTTCCATGATATGTTGATAAATTTGTATATCAGTGGTGCACTGGTACCTTTTTAAGTGTCTGCAAATTTATGCGCTGTCGTGTAGTTGAAGTGGTATTTATCATTGCAGATCTCTGTTTTTTGTGCACAGTACTCGTGCATCTGGTACATAGTTTTGTAATGAGGGCAACTGGGCTGGGCTTGTCAGTCTCATAGCTGTGTGCGGATTCATCACTTTTTTCTGCTGCATTTGTATTAAAGAGGGAAAAGATTTTTATATTAAGGTTTCCCTTTGTGGAACAGCATTTTGTGCCAACGCTGTTGGCATTCTGTGTGTATTTAATCCACGTACATTTACATGCTTCCACCCAGTATTAAACGGGATATGTGTGTTTGCATTCCTTGATTCGTTCCAGGGCAGCTTTTATTGACTGACAGGTCCAATGCTCTAGTAAATCCCTTTTTGTATTGTGATCATTCTTATCGACCCGTTACCTTCAAATACGAGAGAGTCTATTGGGCGATTTTTCTATGTGGTTTTCATGTATGAGAAACCCTTTAACATTGGTCATTTTTTAACCTTTCTGAAGATACAAAGTGTCACTGTTTTATTCCCCACTGTTTAGTGGTGGGGATTCGCTGCAGCTGAATAGTAGTTGCACTGTGTTGAGTAATCTTCTACAATTACTGAGCGTTGTTGCGTAAATCGGTTACTACATTACTGTGCACATGTAACATTATCTTATGCTGCCTGTTGTCTGTACATGAGAAAGTATGGCATCCGCAGAAGCCCTCATAAATATTATTGTGCAGTCGCGAAAGACTCTAGTTGACGTGCTCGAAACCATGATTTGTGAAAACGTGCAAGTGAGCCTACCAACATTTTGTGGCCGACCCAAAAATATAGGGGACCTTTCCCTGGCAGATTGGTTGGACGAGTTTGAATCGTATTGCAGAGAATTTCATCTTGAGGGTATTGCAAAGGTCACAGCAGTTCTTGACCATTTGGGAGGCGTTGCCAGAGAAGAAGTATTGTGTAGTCCTCCAGAATATCGTAGAGATTTGTCCAAGATCATCGGAATTTTGAGTGCAAGACTTGGTTCTCAAGAATCTGTTCATTCTCTCAGAGCAAAGTTTTATGCTCGGAAGCAGCATCAGTTTTCTCTCTCATGTTGTGCGAAGCAAGATGATATTCAAAATTGTGTTCAGTGCCAGTATAACGGAAATGAAGAGGTAAACAGTACCCCAGGTCGAAAAAACTGTATTGTGGGTTTTCTCACGAAAACTTGGTTTCTGCATTAACCGTCAAGGCAGAGGAAAAAGCAGGGAACCCAAGTGACCCTCCTCTTGTGTCAACCGAGGTTGAGGACGGCTTTGAATCTCAAATTGTTGAAAATATAATTATATATAATGAGCTTATAATAATATAATGAGCTTGGCAATAAGACTGAAAGTGATGTAGGTTATAGTTCATCTTCAGATGTCGATGGGTCTGAGAAAACCTCATATGTGGCCTCTTTCAGTTATCAGTTGATCCCAAATTGGTCGCATAAAATGCAAACATGCACAGAGAGCGTACTGATGGTAATCTCATTTCTGCATGGAGTAACTCAACTGACTGAACATGATATGTACCCACAGCGATCAAATCTTTGTAAAATCTGGACTGGTCGCTGGCCCAATGCTATAACTTAAATGTTTTTCTGTTATTTTATGGTACGTGTCTGATAAGTGTAAGACCTTGTGTAAAGTTGTTTAAGAGTGTTCAACAGTGAGATTTGCCTGCCTGGGGGGGTAGTGCCTTTGTGCAGTCTCCAGGTGAACAGTGTAGTTCAAGGTTCATATTTGTTGAGGTCAAATATTAGATGGCCTTTTTGTTGATAAATATGTTATTAATGGCTGAAGTTCAAGTGCATATCGAGAAGTCCTGAGCTTTGCTCAATGTATTACACAGAAACCACTTGTATTTTTGCACCACTTACAGCTTCATTACACTGCCTTTTCACGTTTATGATATTCATATTGCCTTTCTATATGGTATGAAATTGTAACTTTTGAAACAGGTGTTTGTACTGAACTAGAAAGTATTAGCCTTGTGGTTCCAATGACCAGACACTGTAAATTGCAATCCTTGCAGTCGGATTCTGAATTGCTTTTGTTTCAGGTGTTATCTGAACTGATGATTGCATTAGTTAACTTTGTTAACTTGATATTTTGAAAATTGTACCGAACTCAATTTTGAGCTTTAAATGTTTCTGTAATGTGACTTGAAGTTGTAGGACTGCTGGATATTCTGCAATTATGGTTAGGAAAAAAACAGAAACTAACAGTTGATTTTTTTATTCAAGTAAAGGTGTGCTTGTTTAATGAAGTAATTCATATGTGATACTTGTAGACTATTTTCCAAGTTTAGTTGGCAATCTGGTTTATTGCATGCTCAACAAGAACTTGGTACACTGGCTTGATGACTTGGACATGCATTTAAGAAGAAATTCAAT